TGGTCCTGTAGAAAATGTGTCCCTTTGTCTGTAAATCTCACACCAGACTCCATTGTTAAAAGAGGCATTAAAAATAACACGTTTCACCCGAGTCATTTCAACTCATGTGGGAAAATTGATACTGAGTTTCCTTTTCTTGCCAACTATAAATTAGGGCCAAAACAAGTTCAAAATTATTGGACAAAAGGCTGATATCGTAGCATTTCAAAACCACAATGTGAATGGAGAAGGCCATGAGACCAATGTGATTTTAGTCACTGGTAAGTACTGGGGCGTTTTCTGGGCAATGTCAAAGACATACTGGTGAATTTGAGCTACGTTGTCATTTTTAGAAAGAAGGGTGTGTTTGCATAGTTTTTACCTACCTGCTCACACACAAGATTACAATTTCGCCCTTTATGATGTCAACAGTACTGACAAAATTGCTATTATAGTGAAGGTGTGCTTAATCTCTGAGGCTTTAATGAAATGCTTAAAGAGCATGAATTAATAAGCTCACAACACTCTGACTCCTCAATTAATTGAGGCTTCAGAAAAGCAAGGAATAGATGTAGAGTACAGAAAGAGGAAAAATAAAAGCTGCAGACTGCAGGGGTTTAGCTTTCTTAGATGCAACTGGCTCCACGCTCCGGATGTGGCTGGAGATAGTGAGAGATTTGGGGACCCCGAGAATCACAGTATGCGCAAATATCGGTGTCTGCAGTAGCCCCAGAAACTGGAGAGTGATGGGGCGCTCAGGGATGGAAGCATCCAATGCCACAAAAGGTTCCCCGCTGAGAGGAGCAAGGACGGGGGTGGTGGGACATCCCAGGTCCCCCAACAAAGCACGGCCCTGGGGATGCTTTAGAAGTCAGGCAGCCTCCTCCCCACACCTGCTCTGCCTTATTCTCCATGAAATACAGGGAAAAGAGACAGCCTGACAGCAGAGAAACAAGAGACGTTTGCCAAGGTAGCAGAGTCCAAGGGAATTTCAAAGGAAAACATCATACATCTCTCCGAATCAGGTAGAGTCAACCGGCTGCATCCCGCGATCCAGAAATTCATTTGGAATGCGAACTTAATCAGAGCTGGGCTTGCTTTGTAACTACTGTGGCAAAAATCAAAAGTTGCACTTGAACTCAACTGCTATTGCTGGTACTCAGATCTGTGGAATAACCCCAACCACCTTGTGTGTGGCTTTTCTTTCTCTCCTCTGTTCCTGCACAGACACCTGTCCACAGTGAAGAGGTCACTGAGGTGAGTAGACACACGGAACTTGTCACACATGATAGTTTAAACTTCTTGTACAGTTTTCTTTTGAAAATTTGGTATATACATCACACCAACAGTCCCTCTTGAAGTAATGAATTTGCTTAGTGAATCCATATATATAGCGACAGAGAGAGAGAGAGAAAGAGAGAGAGAGAGAGAGAGAGAGAGAGAGAGAGAGAGAGAGAGAGAGAGAAACATTTTTTTTGTGTTGGCCACTTGAATATATTTTGTGAAAAATGAGTATTTCTCCAATCTCGAATATGACTAGACCACATGATGAATCCCAGTGTAAATAACAAACCTCATTATGCTAACATCTTTCTTTACTCTTGATAGGACTCTAGAGGATATTTGCGATGCAAACATATGTTTAGCTGCCAGTTGACTATTGTCATGGACTTATACCTTGGCAATGTTCTTTTGGTTACATTTCTTAAAAATTTGATACCAGTCTTACTAGGCAGTGCAGGCTGGTAGTGATCGTCCTGCCTCAGCTTCCCCAGGACTGAGATAACAGGCGGGCACCACCACGCCCACTTCCAAGGCCAGCGTGGATTGCAGTACTGGGGATCGACTCTGGTCCTTGTGCTTTCCAGGCAGCCTCTTAGAACACTAGCTCTCTCCCCAGGCTATGTTTTGGGATTTTATTTATTTATTTATTTTCTTTATGTGTGTGTGTGTGTGTGTGTGTGTGTGTGTGTGTGTGTGTGGCCAGCTCAGCTCAGCCCACCAGGGGGCGGGGGCTGGCTAGCATGTGGTGCTGGGGGATTGAAACACGGTCACCTGTGCTTTAGCTAAGCTTGTTTTAAATAGGTG